TTTTTTTTTTTGGGGCACCTCCACCTCGCGACACATCCTGCGCGGTCCGGGGGCAGCGCTCAGCCCCTTCCTGCCCGCCGAGGAGGAGGAGGAGGAGGAGGAAGAAGAAGAAGAAGCCGCCACCGCTGAGGGGCAGCGAAGGTGAAAGAGCTCGAGCCCCTTTTTTCCCCTGCATGGAGGTGGCCCCATGGCTTTTCTCCGGCGGCTTTTTGGCTTTTCAGAGAAGAAGAAGCCACCCAGGCAGTACCAGCACCTCCGGCGGGACGTGGACCCCGAGGAGGCCTGGCTGGTGCTGGGAGAACTGGGCGATGGCGCCTTTGGCAAGGTCTTTAAGGTAGGAAAACCCCTTCCCCAACCCCAAAAACCCCTCCGGCACCCTTGGGGGGCTTTACAAATGCTTTATTTTATCTGTGTTGCCTTGCATCGTGTGCAGCTTCCGGCGTGCGAGATGCTAAAAAGCCACCAAACGGCCCCAAATTTCTCACCGGGGATGGTGGGGTCCTGCCCCCGGGGATGGCTCAGCCCCGTCCCCGACCGTGGCACCGGGAGAGACACGGGGTCCCGGCGCTGGCCCCTTCACCGGGGGGTGTTTGCCCCCTTGGGTGGCGCGAGGGGGTTGAGAGGGGGGATGTTTTTCTCTGAAAACCACGGTGCTGGGCCCGAGCGCGACAGGAAACCCCAATTTGCTGCTCGGCAGCAGCCACCTTCCGGCACCTGGTGGCACTCGGCAGCGATGGGGCTGGCCCCAGCTGGGCTTGTGGTGGCCAAACTCATCCCCTCTCTTCTTTCCGCTGTTTTCGGGGCGACTGAATCCCTCAGCACCACTCGAGGGTTGGGGTTTCACCACCGAAAGGTCCCTGGGAAGGGGTTGCTGAGCCCCCCGTGATGACCTTCGCTGTAGCTGTGAGGATTTGGGATCCAGGGGGATGCTCCAGGACCTGTACAAAAGGTTTGGGATACAGTGAGATCCTCTGGGAGCCACCAAGAGGGTTTGGGATACAGTGGGATGCTCCAGGACCCACCAAGAGGATTTGGGATCCAGGGGGATGCTTTGAAACCCAAGCACAAGGTGGCATGGCCACACCAGAGGCAGAAGGTCCTGGGATACAGTGGGATGCTCCAGGACCTGTATTAAAGGTTTGGGATACAGGGGGATGCTCTGGGACCCACCAAGAGGGTTTGGGATGCTCCAGGACCCACCAAGAGGGTTTGGGATCCAGCAGGATGCTCTGGAACCCAAGCACAAGGTGGCATGGCCAAACCAGGAGCAGAAGGTTCTGGGATACACTGGGATGCTCCAGGACCTGTACAAAGCTTTTGGGATACAGTGGGATGCTCTGGGACCCGCCAAGAGGGTTTGGGATACAGTGGGATGCTCTGGGACCCAGGCACAGGGTTTTGGGATCCAGGGGGATGCTCTGGTACACAGGCACAAGGTGGCACGGCCACACCAGGAGCAGAAGGTTCTGGGATACAGTGGGATGCTCCAGGACCTTTACAAAAGGTTTGGGATACAGGGGGGTGCTCTGGGACCCACCAAGAGGGTTTGAGATCCAGGGAGATGCTCCAGGACCTATACACAGGTTTCACAATACAGCGGGATGCTCTGGGACCCACACACAGAGTGGTATGGGCACACTGGGGGCAGAAGGTTTTGGGATACAGTGGGATGCTCCAGGACCCACCAAGAGGATTTGGGATCCAGGGGGATGCTTTGAAACCCAAGCACAAGGTGGCATGGCCACACCAGGAGCAGAAAGTCCTGGGATGCTCCAGGGCCTTTACAAAAGGTTTGGGATACAGTGGGATGCTCCAGGACCCACAGAGGCTTTTGGGATACAGTGGGATGCTCTGGGACCCACCAAGAGGGTTTGGGATACAACAGGATGCTCCAGGACCCACCAAGAGGATTTGGGATCCAGGGGGATGCTCTGGAAGCCAAGCAGAAGGTGGCATGGCCAAACCAGGAGCAGAAGGTTCTGGGATACAGTGGGATGCTCCGGGACTTGTATGAAAGGTTTGGGACACAGTGAGATGCTCTGGGAGCCACCAAGAGGGCTTGGGATCCAGGGGGATGCTCTGGGACCCACACACAGAGTGGTACAGACCCACTGGGGATAGAAGGTTTTTGGGGTACAGCAGGATGCTCTGGGACCCTCCAAGAGGGTTTAGGATACAGGGGGATGCTCTGGAAGCCCAGCAGAAGGTGGCATGGTGACACCAGGAGCAGAAGGTTTGGTGATACAGAGGGATGCTCCAGAAGCCACCAAGAGGGTTTGGGATACAGTGGCACACTCCAGGACCTGTACAAAGGTTTTGGGATACAGTGGGATGCTCTGGAACCCAAGCAGAAGGTGGCATGGTGACACCAGGAGCAGAAGGTTCTGGGATACAGTGGGATGCTCCAGGACCTGTACAAAAGGTTTTGGATACAGTGAGATGCTCTGGGACCCACCAAGAGGGTTTGGGATCTAGGGGGATGCTCTGGAACCCAAGCACAGGGTGGCACGGTCACACCAGGGCCACCTGCACGTCAGCCCCATGCACAGGGTGGCCAAGAATCCCTTTCCTTCCTGTCTCTGGGGACAGTGAGGTCCTCATGTCCATCCCCGGCATTTGGCTTGGTGGCACCAAGCACCTGGGGAGGGATGTGATGGGTCCAAGCTTCCCCCTCGCCAAAAATTGTGGGGCTGCTCCTTGTGTCCCCCACAAGTCCCCCGTGAAATCTACCCTTTCCCTCCCCAATCCCAGGCACAGAACAAGGTGACGGGGGCGTTGGCGGCCGCCAAGGTGATCGAGACCCCGAGCGAGGAGGAGCTGGAGGACTACGTGGTGGAGATCGAGATCTTGGCTTGCTGCGACCACCCCAACATCACCAAGCTGCTGGACGCGCTCTACTGGAACGGGCGGCTCTGGGTGAGCTGAGGAGGGTTGGTCACCACCTCACCTTGGGGTGCCACCACCTGCTTGAGGGGGACACACACACACTCTGGAGGGGACACGCTTTCAGACCTGGGTTGGAAACCTCTCCCTGCAGATCCTGGTGGAGTTTTGTCCCGGAGGGGCCGTGGATGCAGCGATTTTGGGTAAATAAACGTGTTTTTTTCCATCGGAGGGTTTGGGATGGGATTGTCAAATTTCACATCCCGGGTTTGTGCGGTGTCTGCAGGAGGGAGGATGGGTTGGGGTGCATCTTCCTCTGGGTACCACCACCTCCCTCCCCGGTTTGGTGTGTGTGGGGGGGTGCTGGGCAGGAGGCATCGTTAGCGGCGGGGTTCGTTTGCGCTAATGGCAGAGCTGGAGAAAGGGCTGACGGAGGAGCAGATCCGGGCGGCCTGCAAGCAGCTGCTCCTGGCGCTGCAGTACCTGCACGGCTGCAAGATCATCCACAGGGATGTGAAGGCTGGAAACGTCCTCCTCACCCTCGACGGGGACGTCAAGCTGGGTGAGTCCTGGGGGAATCGGGGTCCCCTGGGGCAGAGGTGGGGCTGGAGGGGGGGCTTCGCCCCCAAGGATCCTCTCCAACTGCTGGTTTCTGCTCTGCAGCTGATTTTGGTGTCTCGGCCAAAAACTCCAGCACCGTCCAGCGCCGAGTGTCCTTCATCGGCACCCCGTACTGGTAGGTGTGGGGCAGGAATTCCCTGGGGATGGTGGGATTCAAGAGCGCAGGCAGGTGGGATGGTGGACCCCACGTGTGCTGCTTCTCCTGCGGGTCCTCACAACAGGCTCCTCGACACCAGGAGCACCTCAAGAAACCAGATCTTTCCTCTTCTGGCCAACATTGTCTCCAGGGTTGGCTTCTCAGTAGCACGGGGAGGACACGTTGGGGTGTTGGTGGGTGGAAGCCTTCCTGGGGTAGAAGGCTGGAAGAGTTGAGGTTGCATCTCACATCTTCTGCCTGTAGGGTTGTCTCCAGAGGGTTTGGTTGCAGGGGGAGATCCCAGCCCGGGACAGACTGGACCTCTTCCCCTCTGTCCCATTGCTCAGGATCGTTGGAAGAGTTGAGGTTGCATCTCACATCTTCTGCCTGTAGGGTTGTCTCCAGAGGGTTTGGTTTCAGGGGGAGATCCCAGCCTGGGACAGACTGGACCTCTTCCCCTCTGTCCCATTGCTCAGGATGGCCCCGGAGGTGGTGCAGTGTGAGACGTCCAAGGAGAACCCCTACAGCTACAAGGCTGACATCTGGTCACTGGGCATCACGCTGATTGAGATGGCTGAGATGGAGCCCCCCTACCATGAGCTGAACCCCCTCCGGGTGCTGCTGAAGATCGCCAAGTCCCAGCCGCCCACCTTGCGTCACCCCAAGAAGTGGTGAGTCCCCGTATGGAGAAGTCACTCCAGCATTGGGTGACGGTGGGAGAAGTTGTCCCATAGGGCAGCTCTTGCTCTAAAGCCACGTCTGGGCAACTGGTGTGGGCTCTTGGACCACAAGTGATGCTAGTCATGATTCCTCCAAGCCCAGCTCCAGAGGTGGTACCATGCCACCCATCACACCAGCTTTGCCTGCAGAAGGTGACACCACTGGGGTGGGGACCTCCTGCCTGGGTGCCCCTAGCATCACCCCAAGGTCTGTGGGGTCTGCAGTGGGGGTGACAGGGAGCTTCTGGCCCCGTGTTCACAGGGACCATCCCACAGGTCTGAAGATTTCAAGGACTTCCTGAGGAAATCCTTGGAGAAGAGCCCTGAGGCGCGGTGGTCGGCCAGCCAGCTCCTGCAGGTTGGTAGCACCCATCGGCACTTCCCCGGGGTGGTGGGACCCATCTCCAGTGCTGACCCCACTCACGTCCCTCACTCCCACCCAGCACCCCTTTGTGGCGGGCATCTCCGACAAGCGGCCGCTCCGGGAGCTGGTGGCCGAAGCCCGAGCTGATGTGCTGGAGGAAGAGGATGAGGAGGAAGGTCCGGTCCCCTCGGTGCGTGAGTAGTGGCCGGCTGGAGTGCAGGATCCCTCCAACCCTTTCCATGAGCTTGTTGAGCCTCACCTCTGCCCTTGTTGTCCACCCCACAGCCTGGGCAGGAGAGTGGAGAGTCCTCCTGCCCCCCAACCCCGGGGGTTCCCCTGGAGCATCAGCCCCTGGATGAAGCGGAGAGAGACAACAAGGAACCAGGCATCCCATCCGATGTCCAGGTGGTGGCAGAGCCCAGGACCAAGAGAGCATCTGACTTCTTGAAGCACATGAGGAGGAGGTCCTCGCCTGAGTTCGTGGGCTCCGTGAGGCTCACCGCGAAGAGGTCCTCTGAGTTTCTGAAGCTGATGCAGCGCAGGTCGTTTTTTGGAGGGATGAAGTCCCAAGAAACAGCTACGGAACAGCATGGGGCAGAGCCAAGTGGGTTGGAGACTACGGTGCTGGATGCTCCTCAAGGGACACCAGTCCCAGCAGAGGCAGGAGGAGAAGTTCAAGGGTGTCAAGAGGAGGAGACCAGCCCTCTGGGGACCCCCTGCCACGTGGCTGAGCTCCCCTCAGGACCACAGCGGGCAGGAGACCTTGCTGAACTGCAAGAGCTGAAGGTAGACCAGGTTGGACCCAAGGCAGAGCCCCAGGAGGAAAGTCAATGGGCTAACGCATCATCGGTGGCCAAAACGTCGATGGAGGGACAGCTTGCAGCCCAACTGAGCCCCATTTTGACCCCCAAAAGTGACACAAAAGAGGAGTCAAGCAGAGACCCTACTTGTAACTCACTGGCCCTGCCTGCGCCCACGGACGGGGACTGGCGCAGAGTCTTGGCCATGGGGCAGCTGGTGGCAGCCCTGGACCTGTGGACCATGGGGACCAAATCCCAAAGCTTCAAGCCACTGGCAGAACATCAGCATCGGGTTACTCGGTCGTTGCTAGACATGAAGGTTGAGGTTGGCTCCATTGGGGCTGAAGATGGCTTTAGGAAGGATGGTGATGGGGCAAGGAGGGGATCCATGAAACCTGAGGGTGCTGGAGAGCCCGGGGAGACTGAGCAGGCTGAGGCTGAGGGTGGCTCCACCAGGGATGAAGATGTTCTTGGGAAGGATGGTGATGGAGCAGGGAGGGGACCCATGGGTGCTGGAGAGCCTGGGGAGACTGAGCAGGTTGAGGTTGGCTCCACCAGGGATGAAGATAATCTTGGGAAGGAAGGTGATGGAGCAGGGAGGGGACCCATGGGTGCTGGAGAGCCTCGGGAGACTGAGCCGGTGGAGGAGAGGGTGCCACGGGGTGAAGAATCACTGATGCCCAGTGTGACAGAGGAGACAGTGGTGGGATCAGATGTTCTCAAGGGGTGGCAGGAGCCCTCAGCTGGTCCAGGAGAGGCTGGAGAAAGGAACAATGGGGAGAGAAACTCGGCCATGTGTGAGCCCAGTGCTGACCCCCTGGACCTGGCTGGGCAGGAGGTGGGGAGGAGCGAGGAGGAAGCCACAGGTAACGCTGAAACTGGGGTGGAAACTTCTCCTGAGGAAGCCCTGGTGCCAGCAGAAGTAAAATTGGAAGAGGATATTGTTAAAGGTTGTTTGATTGGAGACCATAACCCAACGGGAGATGCAACCAGCCTGGGGAAAGCGATGCTGACAGGAGAGGAACCCAAGGCATCCTCTGCAGCGTGTGCAGGAGAGGGACCTGCAAGTGAGGAGGCTCAAAATTCAGCAGAGGATTCATCCCCCATGGAGATCCCGGAGCCTGTTGAAGAAGAAACAGAAGAGAAAGTAGAAAACAGCCACGGAAACAACCAGCCAGAAGCTGCTCATGGGAATGTCCAGAAGGGACAAGATGGAAATGATGGAGAGCTTGGAGAAGACGGGGTGCAGGTTGCTCCAGCTCCTGAAGAGCCATCAAAGGATGGACCTGGACAGGAGATGGGTGGCTTGGAGGGTCATGGAGCAGTGCCTGAGCTCCAGGAAGCCCTTGGTGGCCATCCAAAGGCCACAAAGACTATGAGCTTTGACGCTGCCCTTGTGCACACCTCTTCCCAGGCGCGGGCAGCATGGGAAGGTGGGAACACACCAGATCCATCCATCACATCAAAGCAAGGAGAAGAACCATACCCTGTGGAAAACCCTGAAGATGTACAAGAAGGTCCAAGTGTCCTCCCTGCAGCAGCACAGTCTTTCCCCTCTGCTGAAGAAGCCCAGCAGGTGAGGAGCTTGCAGGTAACATGGCCACGTGAAGCTGTCATCCCTTTCATGGGCTTCCGTGTTGGGTTAACGTAGTTTTGGGCCATCTGAGCTCAAAGTGTTGCTCCTGATCACAGGAACCCACCTCACTCCAAAAGACGGTCAAGAAAACCCGGAGGTTTGTTGTGGATGGGGAGGAGGTGAGCGTGACGACCGCCAGGACCGTCGGCAAGGCTGGGGCGAGGGATGAGATGGTGCGCTCGGCTCGGTGAGTGATGCTGCTAGCTGGGGGGCCACCAGGCATCCCCCACCCGTTTCTGGACAAGGAGGACCAGGGGCAAAGAGGGGAGGGTGAAGGAGAGAGGATGGGTCTGTTTGGGCTCTGCAAAGACAAAAGTGCTTGACCTCCAGGCTTGGAAAACCCATCTGCCTCCCTGGCTGGGGTTAACTCCAGCAGGAGACCACGAGCAAGCCCTTCCCTGCATCCTCAGGGCTGTGTTGGAGGGACATAGGAGGAACCAAAACATTGTCCAGCCCCATTTCTGGTGCGTCCAGGAGGCAGCTTAAGGAAAGGAGAGGGGAAAGTCTTCTCCTATAAGCTCTCGTGTCACCCAAGGAGAGCAGGAAAGGATAAAAGGGGAGATGAAGGGGCAGCAACATCAGCTGAGCTTGGAAGCATGGCCACCATGGACCAACAGGCATGGACCAACAGGCATCCCATCTTCCTTCTTGCTGGAGAAAGTCTTCTCTGTGATGTTGCACCAGCGCAGAGCTGCTCCCTACCTTTAGCCACCTACAAGTCAGCCATCCTGGGAGAGAGGTGCCTCCAGGGCCTCCCTCTCACCCTGATCCCCCAAAACCTTTAGGCGGCAGGAGCTCCGCGAGCTGCGGGTGCTGCAGAAGGAAGAGCAGCGAGCCCAGAGCCAGCTGGAGCAGAAGTTTCACCAGCAGCGGGAGCAGATGTTTCGTCACATCGAGCAGGAGATGATGGTAACCGGAGCATCATCCCTTGATGCCAGGATGTGGTCAGAGAAGGAGACGTGCAAAAGGGTGGTGGGGTCCCACTGTGGGAGATGCCAGGGATCTACGGGGGCTTTGGTGGCCACTTCTGGTCCCTGCAGCTCCATTACCTACCTATGGCCCCCTACCATAAAAAAGACATCGAGGTGCTGGAGCGGGTCCAGAGAAGGGCAACAAAGATGGTGAGGGGTCTGGAGAATAAGTCTGATGAGGAGAGGCTGAGGGAGCTGGGGTTATTCAGCCTGGAGAAGAGGAGGCTGAGGGGAGACCTTCTTGCTCTCTCCAACTCCCTGAAAGGAGGGTGTAGAGAGATGGGGGTCGGTCTCTTCTCTCAAGTCACAGGCGACAGGACGAGAGGAAATGGCCTCAAGTTACACCAGGGGAGGTTCAGGCTGGATATTAGGAAAAATTTTTTCACTGAAAGGGTTCTCAGCCCTTGGAATGGGCTGCCCAGGGAGGGGGTTGAGGCCCCATCCTTGGAGGTGTTCAAAAGCCGGGTTGATGTAGTGCTGGGAGGTCTGGTTTAGTGATGATGCTCCTTGTTTGTTGTGTGGGTGTCTATTTTTGTCAGTGAGGTTGACGGTTGGACAAGATGATCTTTAAGGTCCCTTCCAACCTAGAAAATTCTGTGATTCTGTGATTAACCATGTCTGCACGGCAGAGCAAGAAGGAGTTTTACGACCGGGAGGTGGAGAGCTCGGAGCGGCGCTACCAGCAGCTGAAGGACCGTCAGGAGCTCGAGTACACAGCCAGGCTGCAAGAGGAGGCCAAACGCCTCAAGTCCCTCCAGGAGAAGGACTGTGAGAAGAGGATGCAAGAGCTGAAGGGTGATAAGAAAGAGGTGAGTGGCCGGGACAGTGGTGGCTCCCCTAGCCGTGCCACCAGGAGCCTGGGGACATCATCCCTGAGTGCTGGGACCAAGCTCCTCCATTTGCTGCCCGCAGGAGCAGCGGTTCCTGCAGCAGCAGCAAGAGGAACTCAACGCAGCCCTGCAGAGGGTTGTCCAGGACCACAAGAAGAAGATGACATCCATCGACTGGGAGTGCATCAACAAGATCCATAGCCTCAGGAGAGGTGCACCGGGCTGGGAGGAGGAGGAGGAGGATGGGAGGGTTCTTGGGGAGAGGAGCAGGGGGTCTGGCTGGGGGTTTTTGGAGGTGCTCATGGTGCTGTGGTCTTGCCCGGCAGCCCGTGAGTTGGTGGTGTGGAGCATGGAGCAAGGGCACCTGCAGGAGAAGTACCAGCTCTTCAGGCAGCAGGTGAAGGAGCAGCACGCACTGCAGAGGCAACAGCTCCACAAGCGCCACGAGAAGGTGAGGTGGGAACCACTGGCCACGGTCCCCCATCCCTGGAGGGTCCCCACCCTTCTCCTGGCTCATCTCCTGCCCCTTTCCCAGGAGAGGGAGAGGATGAACCGCTTCCACCAGCTCTTGCTGGAGGATCTGAAGAGCCAGCAGGCGCAGGAGAGGGCTCAGCTGCTGAAAAGCCAGCGCTGCGACGCCAAAACCCGCCTGGCCCTCTTCAAGGACAACCTGAAGACCCAGGAGACCAACGGGGCCAAGCAAAGGGAGAGGGCCAAGCAGGTACGAGGACATGTCCGGGGCCAATGAGGTTGCCCAGGACAAAACATGGACAAAGTCCTCACGAAGCTGTTCCCTGTGGCAGTTTGCGCAGCAGGAGGAGAGGCGGCAGCGCGCGGAGGCGCAGCAGCAGCAGGAGCAGCAGTTGCAGCAGCTGCAGCAGTTGCAGCAGCAGCAGGCGGAGAGCCTGGCAGAGCTGGAGCAGATGCAGGTACAGGGGACCACTGCAAAACTGGAAAGCTGCCCAGAAGAAAAGGACCTGGGGGTGTTGGTAGACAGCAGGCTTAACGTGAGCCAGCAGTGTGCCCAGGTGGCCAAGAGGACCAATGGCATCCTGGCCTGTATCAGGAATAGCGTGGCCAGCAGGAGTAGGGAAGTCATCGTGCCTCTGGACTGGGCACTGGTGAGGCCTCACCTCGAGGGCTGTGTTCAGTTTTGGGCCCCTCACTACAGGAAAGACATTGAAGGGCTGGAGTGTGTCCAGAGGAGAGCCACCAAGCTGGGGAGGGGTCTGGAGAACAAGTCCTATGAGGAGAGGCTGAGGGAACTGGGCATGTTTAGTTTGGAGAAGAGGAGGCTGAGGGGAGACCTCATTGCCCTCTACAACTACCTGAAAGGAGGGTGTAGAGAGGCAGGTGTTGGCCTCTTCTCCCAAAGGACGAACGACAAGACCAGAGGAAATGGTCTGAAGTTGGGGCAGGGGAGATTCAGATTAGATATTAGAAAGAATTACTTTCCTGAGAGAGTGGTCAGGCACTGGACCAGCCTGCCCAGGGAGGTGGTGGAGTCACCATCCCTGGAGGGATTTAAGAAACGTATAGACATGGCTCTTCAGGGCATGCTCTAGTGCCCAAGGTTATTGGTTTATGGTGAGATGTTGAGTGTGGGGTTTAGCTGGTGGGTGCAGTGGTTTTGGTGGGCGTTTGGTGTGGTGTGTTCTGCATTTGTTTGTTGGTTTTTTGTTTTTTTTTTGTGGTTGGACTCGATGATCTCAGAGGTCCCTTCCAACCACTAAGATTCTGTGATTCTGTGAAAACTGTCCACCCCCGGGGTGGGGGGGTCTTCCCACCCCCCTGTTACCTCTCCTCCAGCACCTTCCTTCCCCTTTCCACCTCCCCTCTCCCAGAAGGAGAAGATGAACCTCTTGGCAGAGCAGGAGAGGAGGCAGCTGGGGCGGCTGGATGAGGAGCACGCCATGGAGCTCAGCGAGTGGAAGCAACGGCTGGTTGCCCGCAAGGAGGTGAGTTGTCCTGTGGTCCAAGCCATCTTCTCCCCATCCTGGCTCATGGTGGGCTGCTCTCCTCGCCCCAAGACCCTACGGCGCAGGGCCACAAGGGCCATGGTGGTGTTTCTTCTGTCCTCCAGATGCTGGAGGAGGAACTGGGGAACTCGCTGCCGGTGCAGCGGCGAGGAGGGCTGCAGGGAGCCCACAGCAGCAACAGGATCACCCGCTTCTTCCATCTCCCCTCCTGAAGCTCCACTGGGGAGTACTGGGGAGCGAGAGGTGGGAAGCTGCCTGGGGACAGGTCCCCATGGTTCTTCTGGGAGATGGGACCAAAGGATCTCAAAGGTGACACTAGGGGCAGCTGCCCCGGGGACGCTGAGCAGCCGGGCAGGACGTGGTATGGATTCTGGGGGGCAACCATGGGGTGTGTTCAAGCCCACCCTCCCTGGCCACGCTGGAGGGACTGAGGTGACACAGGCGCTGCCACCCCCCAGTCACCCCAGAAGCCCCTCGGGGAAGTCACCCCACTGGTCTCCAAGTTGTGGGTACAGAGGGGTTGGTGGCACTTCCCGTGGGGATGTCCCCTCAGCTGAATTGTACCTCAAGGAAATACAGCCTTTTTTGAAGAAAGTCCCTGTTTGTGGCTATTTTACTTAAAACCCCTCATTTTGCACCCTATTGGCATGGCCTGTGCCCCCCAGGCTGCACTCTCAGGGAGGAGGGGGGGTCCCATGTCCAGCCTCTGGGCCAGAGATGGCCTTGGGGACAGAGGTGGCAGCACAGGGTGAGCACTGGAGCCAAGTCCAGGCTCCACCACCCTTCATGGAGCAGCACCCACCTCGTCAGGGCCCTGAGGGCACTAATGAGCCCTAATGACCTTGACCCGCCTCTCGAGGGGCCTTGACCCACACCCATGGCCCAGAAGCTCCACTGAAGCTCAGCTCAAGGACTTCAGTCCCTGCCTGAGCTGCGCTGGGAGCACTGGTCTCCCTGCCTCATTGCCTTGGGCCCAATCCTGACCCACAGACAGACTTCTTGCCTTCACCTTGGACCTGCCCCAGCACCGTGAACTTGCCTGGTGGCCTCAACTCTTGGTTGAACCTGGCCAACATCTCCGGGTTGGTCCTGCTCATGTCGTTCAGGTACTGGAGCACTGGTGATGCTCTGGCCGTGCGATGGCTCCTGGTTCAACCTTTCTTTGGGGAGCAGCCCTGCTCCTGTTGCTCCCCAACACTTGGGTGTGATTTTAATCTCTCTCCTCTTTCGGAGAGTCCTTCTTCCCCATCTACAAAGTCTGTAGCAATTTATTATCTTTAAGCTCAGTATAAAAACTAAATCATTTCGGGGGACGAACAGGGCAACAGGAGGAACTGGTGATGTGAGTAACAGTCAGTCCACACACTGGGAATTAGGGACAGCCAGCAGGTGACACACAGAGGAGCCTTTCTGGTGGGGTCACAGTGAGGCAGAGGAACTCCACGGCCCAGGAAAGAGCTGATGGATCAAAGGCAAGAGCTGGGCAGGTTGAGTTGCAGCCGTCCATCTGTACAGGTCCTGTGGTTAGGTAGGACATCCTTGATTTAAAAGTCTTCTGGAGGAGCAGAGACCAGTGGGATTTCCCAGCGACGGTGCTGGGAGGAGAAAAATCTGCTGCTGGTAAGTCCAGAGGGAGCACTGGTCAGCTGGGGAGCTGAGCTCCATCCTGGGGCTCTGCTCCACGCAGGGCTCAGTTGCCTTGTTTCACCAGGACATCAGACAGATCCTCTGTGCCCTCCAGCTTCAGATTCTGGGAATAATAATAAAAAAAAGCAAGGTTTGACAAAGCCAGGCTCTTCCCCTCTGAGTCTGAAGGCCTGGCATAAAAAAACCCCCATGTGATGAAGGTTCAGAACAACCCCAGCCCCTTCTGTCCCCACCAGCACAGACAAGACCAAAGCTTTGGAGTCTGAAACACAACACTTAGAACAACCCTGAGCAACAAAGTGCCCACCCCTCTGCTGCCAGACCCAAGGACAAGGAGGGACACACAGCAGCACGGCTGGAAATGCTGCAAGTGCTGAACCACGGGCTGCCTTTCCCAGCACAGGAGGCTGGTTTGTGTTCACTATTGGTGTGAAACTGGGACTGAAATTGTGAAAAGTCCTGATGTAGGAAGAAAATGACCCTGGTCGCAGCGCTTTTCACTGCAGAGTTCAGCTCCTGCTCCCACCAGGGCTCCTGTCTGCACTCTGTGCTTACCTTCTCGTTCGCCAAGTGCAGGAGGCAGGCGAAGGCTAAGGGGACAGAGAGGTTCTTAGCCATGACAGAAGGCAGCCTGCAAAAGAGAAGGGAAAAGTCAGGATGGAGCTGAAACCCCAGGGATGGAGCATGTCTGCAAGGACCAGGTCACCAAAGATGAGCTCCTCCCCAGGGATCTGGTTTTCTCTCCCTTTACCCTCCCTCTAGCAAGGAATTTGCCAAGCTGGATGCAGCCCACAGCCACCCCAGGCAAACCCAGAGGGCAAGAGAAGAGATTTTTCCCCACTGGGGTCCAGTTAAACTGGTTGTAATGGGCACAGAGGGGTCAGCGTTTGCCCAAGCTCAGCTGAAGTCTGTCCCCCAGCTTCAGTCCCACCTTTTTTAGGGCCTCTCTACCTGTGAAGCAGTTCCTTTGTGATGCTGCTGAAGACCTTCTCTCCTGCTACCACGGATATGTCCTCCTCTTTCTCTGCATCTTCCTATTTAGCAAAAAGACAGATGTTGCTGAGACCTTGTTGCTTTGCCTTGTGTTCAGGGAAAAACCACTGCAAGTTTCACTCAGTCCTTACCAACCATCCCAAGGGAACAAGATTATGAGAGAGGAATTGCTGCTAAACCTGCTCAAGATTGTCTCTGTGGGAGTTAAGCATGGTTACCTGCAGGGCATGCTTTTATTCTGGGGCCTGTACAGGTATCTGGCTCCCCCTGCACTCACCTCTGCTGCCTTTTCTTTCTTCTGTTCATCAGTCAAGAGGTCCCACATGTTTTTCTTCAGCCTCCTCATGTCCATTTTCTTGGCTGTCTTTGCATACTGAATTGCTATCTTATTGACCTGAGGAAAAGTTGTCTGGGGTTAGCTGAGAGCAGAAGCAGGAGCTCTATCCTCAGTCAGGACCGTGGGGACAATCAAAACATGGGTCTCCTTGGGAACAACAGGGAATGCTATCTTACTACTAAACCTTTCATTTTTAATTCCTTCCTCTTACACATCTGGGAATAAAGTCTCCAGTAGCAAACTGAGGAGGTCCTGCGCTAGAGAAACCACTGACTCAGGACTCATAACCACCTGAGGTGTTGAGAGAGAAGCTTTGCTCCAGACCTGGCCACTGAGGAGTTCACAGCTTAGAGACAACACAAGTCCTTACCTTCTGGGGCTCCGCAATGAGGTTCAGTTCTCCGTACGTCGTGATATCGGCGTTGCCGACAAGCCTGTTGAGCTCCGGCCCCTCAGGGTGGGCAGTCAGGTTGAACTCCCCCATCTGGCCCATGAATTGGACGGGTTCATTATCATCATCGCTGTCTGCAGCCTGATCAAGAAGAGATACAGCAGTGAGGCCACCCAGGGACATCTCAGAGGAGCTAGAGATGTCCTGCACTGAGATAACAAGAGCACCTGTGTCTCAGGTACCTGCCCACATTCCCTATGGGACATGTTCTTATTGAGCCTCTCCCCACGGCCCTTGGGCTGAGCTAAGGCTAAAGCCAAGGGAGATGTAGAGTGCAGGATATCAAAAGACTGTTCTACACAGAAAAATAAGAGCTGAGGGCTCTCCTGCCAGTGTGGGACCAGCTGAGACTTGTCACAGACATGCTTTCTGGACTGGCAGAAAGCTGAGGCTTTAGAAGAAATCTACTTCAACGGGGGCTCCAAACAGCTGGGAGCAAACCTCATTTTGCAGAGAGGACTGCAGGGGTGAGGAATGGCATTTACTCCTGCTTTAGGGCACAGGTGTATGGGAAAGGCTGGAATGGAATTTCTGCAGCAAACTGACTGGCAAACACCAAAGTTTAGTTGATGGCAGAGTGAGGAGACAGAGCAAGACTCCTACAGCTTTGTCATAATCTGCAGCGCCAATTCCTTTTCCCTAGTAATTGATTCTGGACACAGATTCTTCCTCAATTATTCCCACCCCGTATCAAATCCAGGCCACAGAAAGTAAATCTCCTTGCTGCAGTTACCTGCAACGCAGGGCAGAAATTGGAGGTGTCGTTGGGGTTGTTGTAATCGTACTCGCCGATCTCGTCTTCGTGATCCAAGGGGCTGTTTGTCTGAGGTGTCCTGCAGAGCTACGGGGACAAGACCAGGGGGCAGGAAAAGAAAAACTCTAAATAATTTCCCAAGCAATGCCTGCCCCTTGTTCCTTCATCACCTCCCCTTTTCCCAGCCTGCTGGCTCTTCCTCCTCCTCACACCCCAGCCCTCTAGCAAGCCCCTAGTCAAGCACAGCTTCTCCGGCATCCACAAGTGGGTCAGTCCAGCAAGAGCCACCCTGGCCCATCTCCAGCCCTGAGGAAGATCCCAAAGGACTCGAAGCATTTTGGTGGGGAGGGTTCTTCTGCGTGGAATGACTGCCAGCAGGCTTGTAGAGAAGACTCTTACCTTCACAGCTGGTTTGAGGAAGAGTTGGAGAATGTTGCTAGGGTCATAGTTGAAGTCTGCGGGAAGCGTGGTGCCCTTCACGTTCTCGTTTTCAAGAATGGATTTGGCAAGAGTTACAGATGCCTGGGGAAGGGAAGAATCACAGAATCACAGAATCTTCTAGGTTGGAAGAGACCTTAAAGATCATCTTGTCCAACCGTCAACCTCACTGACAAAAATAGACACCCACACAACAAACAAGGAGCATCATCACTAAACCAGACCTCCCAGCACTACATCAACCCGTCTTTTGAACACCTCCAGGGATGGGGCCTCAACCACCTCCCTGGGCAGCCCATTCCAATGGCTGAGAACCCTTTCCGTGAAAAATTTTTTCCTAATATCCAGCCTGAACCTCCCCTGGCACAACTTGAGGCCATTTCCTCTCGTCCTGTCGCCTGTGACTTGAGAGAAG